TTCTTCACCATTTTCCTATTCTCAGTTGCATTGATTGCTACTCTAATTTTTATTCTTTCTTTCTTCTACTTGCCTTAGGTTTTTGTTGCTCTCCTTTTATTGCTCTATTTTTTCCTGACAGCTTATCAAATTGTGAATTATAACTCTGTCAGTTTGTTGAATATCAATTATACTTCAATAACACTATTTTTAAAAAGACTGGCATGTCATATATAAATTGGAAAAGGGAAAGAGTTTGCTTCATGACTGGCCCCCTGACTCTAACTAGTTTCAAAACCAAGTAAGACACGTTGGGGAGGATTTTTCCCCATAGATATCTACATCACCATGGAAACACCCTCCTCCATCCCCAGAAGGTGACAGTGTAATGACTGACATTATAGAATAATTGAGATGAGTTAATAAAATGGCCCATCCAGATTAGATTCTCAGCTATGACTACCTTGGAGACAACAGGAACTCTCAGAGAACTTTAGGAAGATGGACTAATCTTGGATCTAGGAACTCCTGTTCTTTGAAGCTTAACTCATGCAACCTCCAAGGAAAACAGGGACTTACCTGTTTTTGCTCACCAAGGTGTCTCATTTGCTAGTCCAGGATCTGTCACGTGGTAGAAATATGGGATATGATCAGGTAGTTAGACACTCCTGGGTTTAATCCCTGGTACTCCCCCCAAAATATAGTCTGGGTAAAGAAAATGCGTTATATATACACAATGGAACTTTATAGAAGACACAGAGATAATCCACATAAATACAGTTATTTCATACTAGAAAAAGGCATCATAAACATATATTGAAGAAAAGAGAGCCTCTTGAAGAAGTGGTGCTGGGAAAACTGAAAATCCATATGTAGTAGAATGAAATTGGGCCCCTATCTCTCACCCTGCACAAAACTCAACTCAGAGTGGATCAAGGAGGCATTAGAAAGATTTACCCTGTGCTTACTAGAAGAAAAAAATAGGCCCAACTCTCCATCATATTGGCTTAGGAAATGACTTCTTCAATAAGACTCCTAAAGTGCAAGAAGCAAAATAAAGAATCAATTAAACTAAAAAACTTTTTCACTACAAAGAAAAATATCAAGAATGTGAACAGAGAGCCTACAGAAAGGGAGAAAATCTTTACCACCAGCACCTCAGATTCAGCATTAATCTCCAAGATATACAAAGAACTAAAAAAAAAAAAAAAGACACCAGATAAATAAATAAATAAGACAAATAACCCAATCAATAAATGGGCAAAGGAATTGAATAGACACTTCATAGAAGAAGAAATACAAATGGTCAAAACTATGTTAAAAAAAGTTCAACATCTCTAGCCATTAGAGAAATACAAATTAAAACTACACTGACATTCCATCTCACTCTAGTCATAATTCTGATTATCAAGAATACAAGTAACAATAAATGTCGGTAAGGATATGGGGAAAAAGTTACTCTCATACATTGCTGTTGCAGCGATTATGGAAAGCAGTTTGGAGATGCAGTATGGAGATTCCTCAGAAAACTTGGAATGCAACCATGATTTGATCAGTTTTCTCACCCCTTGGTCTATACCCAAAGGACTTAAAATCAGCATCCTACATTGATCCAGTCACATCATTGTTTATAGCAGCTCAATTCACAATAGCCAAGCTATGGAACTAGTGTAGGTGTCCTTCAACAGATGAATAGATAAAGAAAATGTGATATATAAATATATATATATATATATATATATATGTATATTTTATAGATAAAGAAAATGTGATATATAAATATATATATATATATATATATATATATATATATATATATACACACACACACACACACACACACACAATGGAATATTGCTCAGACATAAAGAAGAATGAAATTATGGCATTTGCTGGTAAATGGATGGAACTGGAGAATATCATGCTAAGTGAAATAAGCCAGCTCCAAAAAACCAAAGGCCAAATGTTCTCTTTGATATGTGGATGCTAACCCACAACAAGGGAGTGTGAGGAGGGGAAGAATAGAAGCCCATTGGATTAGAAAGGGGGGAATAAAGGGAAGAGAGCTAGTCAGGGTAACACCACATCATGTACAACCACAAGAATGGAATCCTGAATAGAATAAGTTATACTCCATGTATGTATAATTTGCCAAAATACACTCTAATACCTACCATGTATATCTAAAAAGAAAAAATTAAATTTAAAAATTAAATTTAAAAAATGAAATTATATCATTAGCAGGAAAACAGGTGGAACGTGAGAGCATCCTGTTAAGTGAAATAAGCCAAACTTAGAAAGTCAAGATTTGTGTGTTTTCTTTCATAGGTGGAAACTAGAGAGAATAAAGAGGGAAAGAGGGAGTCTCGTAAAAATAGAAGAAAAAACAGCAGAGTAGAGGAAGGCAACCCAAGGGGAGAAAAAGAGGGAAAGTGGAGGTACTGGGGAACAAAATTGACCAAATTATATTTTATATTTTGTGCATTTATAAATAAATGATAATGAATAGCACTATAAAAATAATAATGCACCATAAAAATGCACAAATAACAAAAAAGAAAAAAAAAAGAATATTGTGCAAGAGTGATTCAGAGAGCAAGGTCAGAGATTTATTGCCTGTTCACAAACAGGCAAGGGCCCAGGAGATAAGAGACCAAAATAGAACACAATAAACTGGGTGGTGACCAAAGGTCAATTGGATAGTAATCCTATCCTTCGCCTTCCTGAGAGTAAGCCACACTCTACCCTGTCCCAATATACTTGAGTTTATTGATACATTAAACTAAAAAAGTAAAAGATTCATTACATTTAAACTGGGGGAAAAAAAGGAACATGAAGGTAACACTTGTTAAATAAAATAAAAAGTGGACATAGGAGGCAAAGGGTAAAAAATAGGGAGTCTTTAAGGACTGATTGTTCTATTATTTTCAACAATGCCCTGGGGAACAAATTGTAGGACAGTCTGACCCAGTTAAGTTCCCAGCCCTTCTCAGGTCAGTCCTTGAATTTTGTTTGTCCTTGAGAAGGCTCTTTTTAGCTGTCTTTCCCCCCTGATTGACCCTGGAAAACTTCTAGCTAGCCAGCAGTTTAACTATTGTTTTCATGGAGATACCAGTCTCCTCTTAATTACTTGCCACCCCCAACTCTGTTGTGTAGGGCATTCATGATCTTTGAGGTTAATCTTTACCAGATTGGAACTTCGTTCTATAAACCAGCTGGGATGAAGCCAATCTGGCGCAGTATTCTCATCCTTTTGAGAAAAAAAATTCCTGCCCTACAAGTGGGGGCCAGAAGGAGAAGGATATTCGCAGACTTCTGGCCACTCTTGCCTAGAATAGAGCTTCAGTAGCATGGAGTTTTGGGGAAGAGTATGAGAAGAACTGATAGCCTTTCCCCCTCAGAGAGATACTGTGTTTTTCAACTGGGATTTAGGTACAGTGCTCTTGGCTTTCACATGCCTAGAACAGAGTTTCTGGCCCACTGACCTGGGGTCTTGAAAAGGAAAATGATTTAGACTCTGGCTGCTTTTTACCAAGATTCAGTAGATTAAAAAAATAAGTTTCTTAATTTGTTCTATGCCCTTAAATTAATGTTCAAAAACTTAAAGTGGTTGGGATTTTAAAAATAATTTTTTTAGCTATTATGATTTTTCCATAAGAAGAGGGTCAGGAGAGCTCCTCAGGGTGATATTATGCAGTTATTCCCCTGTAGCATTATTTGTAATGCAAAAAAAAAAAAAAATTAAAAAGGAAGAAATGAATAACAAACTTAAATACCCATTGATATGGAAATAATAAGTAAAGAAATTGTAAGGTAGTAAAGGAAGATTGCCTGGGTTTTCCCCTGATTGATTCTGGAAAACTTCTATTCAAATTGAATGAATTAATTTCATATTTAAAGCATTCAGGATAATATTACATAATACAGAGCTTAATTTTTAAAAAAACAGTTTTAGAAAATTTCTTCCAACATATGTAAATATACAAAAATCGAATGGATATATATAGTTACTGTATTAAAACAGGGAATTTTGGACTGGGAGGTTACAAAGTAAGCTCTAACTACCAGCCCATCTCCTCCATATTGGAAAGATAGGAAATTCTCCTTTATTTTTTAAGAAAAAAAAAATAGAACGTATATTTTCACATTTAGTTCACGATTAGTATTCCAGAATCATGCTGCAGGTTTTGAATACCTCACAAATGGTGAGACACAGGTAGGCACCATTGGATGACATGGAAGGTTGGTTCCTGGAATCCTAACACTCTTGGGGCTTCTGAGGGACCTTCACAGGGCAGACCAAAAAGAATCAGGACTAAGACATTCCTAAACAAATGTTAATTAAGCTCCTACTGTGGATGATACTCAGTGCTTAGAGCTTTGATGTAATGCTTTTGAATCTTTAGAACACTTTCAAATACAGGACCTTCTTAGATATGTTTTAGACCTGTAGATTGTCTTATTCACCCCATGTTTTTAGTACTTAACCTTAGTACTTACTGTTTCCTCAACTGCAAGATAGAACTAACAAGATCATTTCCTGCATAATTCTATCGAAGCAAAGTGATTTATGTAAAGAGTTAAGTGTGCTTTATGGCGTATATTAAGAAGCCAAGAAATGTTGGATGCCGCTGTCACTTCTGTTTACTAGACATGGTTCTGGTCACAGGGTGAGAGGGTGTTTGGAAAACAGCAGCTCCAACGTTTGAGGCGCTCTCTGAGATACATAACCTGAGAGAATCACAACCTAAGAACTTCAGGGATGTCGGAGAAAGGAGGACTTTCTAAATCGAAAAGTAACCGGTCCTAGCCAAGTATTTGTCAATTGTGTTGCCGCCCAAGAATCTCAGCTCCAGGCATTTTTCCTGCCAAGAACTGGGCTGGGTAAGAGGCTGAGGGAATCAGGGAGCATGGCTTGACTTGGCGGAGCTCTGGAGAAGAGCCAGAAGGAGGGGCCCTGGGAAGGAGGGGCCTGGCGGAAGGCCGGGCAGAGGCGGGGCGTGGGGCGGGGCGCGGGGCGGGGCGTAGGAGCAAGGGGCTACACTGACAGCAGGAAACAACTGGAACAGAATAGTTTGGGTTCTAGAGGAGCCAGAGCTTTCTGAGCCATGCTAACGGAGGTGGTCTCTCTGGCGAACGCCTTATGGGCAGGGCTCCATGCCCGGACTTTGCTGGTGGGTGCTGTCGTCTTTCTGTTGTTTGCTGTCTTCAAAAAGCGGCGCCCAAAGAACTACCCGCCAGGGCCCTGGCCTCTACCTGTGCTTGGCAACTTATTTGAAGTTAACCTTGAGGATTCGCACTTGGATGTTCAAAAGGTAGGAAGGGGCAAAGGTGCCCCACTGCGTCCATATGCTAACCCTGACTTGCAGGGCAAGGGACTTTCTGGGGACCCGGGGCAAGAGGATGGGTGGCTGGGCAGCTCATGCTGCTAACCTGCTAAGTCCCACTTTGAGCTTTGTTTACCTTACCAGACATATGGCATCATTCTACATACCTGCCCTTTCTTGTGGTGCAGGAGATTTAAATGTTTACTTTCTAAGTGTGCTACCTAGGTTACCATTCTTAACTCATTTGTTTTCTTCTTAAACATTATTGAAATTCTTTTTTTCTTGTAATGTCCTTCTTTATCTCTGGTAATTTTCTTTGACCTAACTTTATTTGATATAATATAGCAATATCAGCTGTCTTTTGATTATTATATGAATAGTATTTGCTTCTTTATTGCCTTACTTTTAACCCACTTTTTATAATCATATTTGAAATGAATTCTTGTAGAGAACAGATACTTGGTTGATTTTTTTAAAATTATGCCTATCTCTGTCCTTAAATAGGTGAAGGTAGGACATTTCTACTTAATATATTCATTGCTGTGTTAGTGTTTAAGTCTACCATTTTTTTTTCCGGGTTTGTTTGTTGCTCTGTTTTTCATTTCTGTTTCCCCTTCCTGTCTTTCTGTGAGCTACTTGGACACTTCTCTTATCAGTCAATTTTTATTCATCTGTAGTGTTTTGAAGCCTATCTCTTTTTAAATGTGGTTGCTCTAAATATTATGAGCTACATTAGTAGCTTAATAGACTCCACCATTGCAAGAATTTTCCACTTCAAGTGAAAGATAGACATAACAATTTAGGACTCTTGACCTTCACACTTTATAATTGTCTTCACACATTATATCTACTTGCACTGAGAACCACAATATTATAATTTTGCTTTTAAATGTCAGATGCAATTTTAAAAAAGCAAGAACAGTCTATTGTGCTTATCCATTTATTTACACATTTTGTTGCGTTTTCTTCATTTCTCCTGTTCCAAGTTTATAATTTCCTTTATGATGTGAAGAACTTTCCTTAGCTATTCTTTCAGAGCTGGGTTGCAGGCAAATAATTCTCTTAACTTTCTTTCATCTCAAAATATGTTTATTTCACCTTCCTTTCTGAAGTCTATTTTCAATGGACCTAGAATTCTAGGTTGGGAGTTTCTTGGAGGAACAGGTTTCTTGGAAAATAGAAGCAGAAGGGAGGTACCCCAGGAATAAGATAACTTCTGCCTTTCTTCAGAGGTAGAAGTCAAAGGTCTTCCCACGTCTGTACCATAGGGAAGAGTAATTCCTTATCACTGTAGGAGAAGGTGGAGATTAGAACTATGTCCTGTAGAGAGTCCTTACTGGAGTTCAGGGGTGAAAGTCACAATTCTGCAGAGATAGGACATAAGGAGAGGGAGAAAGATGAGGTTGTACCATGCTTTCCACTGCAGCAACACCTTTCAGGGGCAAGGAAGGCCACATCCTCATGATGTTTGCCTCCAGGACAGAGAATTAGAAGACTCAAATGTTTCTGTCCTGTTGGGCTCCTCTTTTCCTAGTCTTTTGGCTAAAGGTAGTAGGATTTTCTTGGAGTTTTGTCTGTGATAATTGGTCTAGATTAAGAAGTTTGATCTATGTCCTTCTTTTTCTATTAGGATAGATGGGACTAGAGAAGTTAAATGATTATCCTAATATCACAGAACTGGCTAGTAATGAGCTGTAATCCCATCTACTCATAAGAAGGATTGCAAGTTTGAGACCAACCTGGGCAATTTCAGTGAGACTCTGTCTCAAAATAAAATATAAAAAAGGATGGAGATGTGGCCGGTGGTAGAGTTCCTCAGGGATTAATTCTCAGTACCACAAAACCAAACCAAAACTCTAGCCAGTTGATGAAACTGAGACTAGGATCTTATTCCCAGTCCAATGATATTTTTAATCACAATTTAGTTTTTATTTTATTTAGGTTTGCATTTTTATATTTCTGATGTAAAGCAAATAAAATTAAATGGCATAATTTAGTAATGATACTATTAAATTTATCTTCATGAAATTGGGAAACATCAAGTATTAAGGTCTTTTTTTCCACATTTTTATTGATAGATTATATAGTTGTATATATAATAGAACCTGATAGGTCTTGTGTCAGAATTTTTATGTTCCTCTTTATTTAACCTTCATGATAGGTATAAATTTTAGGTACCATCTGGTGGCATTTCCATTTTACCACTGAGAAAACTGAGAACAAATGTAATGTGATTTTCCCAGGTTATTCAGAGGATAATGGCAAAGCAAAGGCTTGAATCCAAAAATATTTGACTTGAAACTTATTCTCTCCTATGCTACTTGACTCTGCATGATGTTAGTAGAGAATAATTGACTTTTCTTGACATAGTTATAAGCTATTTATTTGTATATGTATTTCTTCAACAAACATTTATTAAATACTTACCATGCCAGGCACTGCCCCAGTCAGTGTCTGATGAAGAGAGTTTTACAAACTCCCATAACCCAAATGGATACTAGGAAATAGGATCACTGTGGATGGGAAATCCTGAAGATAACCTTTTGTGGAATGTTGGAATTAATTGGATTGAATTTTAAAAGAATTTCTGGCAGGTGAATGGATTAAAATGATAGGATATTTTAAACGGGGATGTGGCATGAACTAAAACACAGTGAAGAGACCAGAAAGAAACTGGCTTGTGTGTGTGGCCTGTGGGGGACTTTGCTTTCCCTCCCTCTCACACTTTGTAAATTTTCTCCATCACTGCTAGATGGCTTATTATAGGAACCTGTATTTAAATGAAAGAAAGTCTTATTGGGCTAAGTGGAAGAACTGTACATAAGATGGGTCAATTTATTAGTTAGCATGCACAGCAAGCTACTTATAACAAAGAAACCCAAAATACAATGGCGTCAACAAGATTGAAATTTCTTTCTCTCTCACAAAAGAGTTCAGATATAGGCAGGAAGTCCAGGATAGAGAGGCTGTTCTGTACCACAGTGTCATCCAAAATCTCCAGTTCCTTATGATATTGCTCTGGTCCTTCACCACCACCATCATGTGTGGGTTCTGGCTCATGAGAAGGGGAAATGGAGGTGGTGAGCAAGCAGCTTTCATTTAAGGCTTCGACCCAGAAGATGCACACATAACCACTACTCACATCCCACTGGTTACACCTAGTGAGGCTGAGAGATATAATTATGATGCCAGCTAAAACCTAGGCAGCTCCATCACTCAGAGGAACAGAAAGAAAATATCTTTATCCCTTCATTGAAGGATGAGGCCTACAGAGGGGACTGTAAAGCACCCAAACTTTATTTCCACTAGCTATGTGCTAAATTTCTGTGCCTCTTTTTTTTTCTGAAAACTAGGTATACTTTGTGGGATCATTATAAGTATAAAATAAGTTTATGAATATCAAGTTTTGCCAGGATGCCTAGCATGTAGATGTGCTTATTTCTATATTTCTATATTTTTTATTCTTCCCTTTTCTGTAATAGCTTATAGAAAAGCCAGTTTTTGGTTACAGGCTGGGCATCGTTTATATGTCCTGGTTGCTGGATGAGTCCCATCAGCCCCCTCTCTGGTCTCTGTCCTTGCATTCCTTAGATGATGCCATTATGAGAGCCCTCTTCCTAAATTATACTCCCTGAAATATTAGTAGTAATAGTTTTCATTATTCATTTTATTATTATGGTTACTCATCATAATAATCCTAAAGATAGGAACTAGTAATGTTCCCTATTTTATAGAAATAGAAACCAAAACACAGAGAAGTTAAATAATTTATCCCCAAATTACACATGAAATAAGAAGCAGATCTGGATTCAAACAGGTTGTGTGACTCCTAAATCCAGACTCTTAATGCACTTCACCTCTCCTACTCAGATATTTCCAGGCTCTGTTATCTGTTACCAAGTAAGATCCAAATATTTCACTCCTGGGTCTAAAGATTACCACATCAGCACTATCACCCATCTTCCTTGGCACCTGAGAAGAAACTCTTTTCTCTGTGTGCTTCTATACTTTCCAACATCAAACAACTTAAGGATGGAATAATAACAATAAGAATTTATCTATATACTCCCTTAGGTTGTGAGCTTCCTGAAGTTAAGGACTTAATGAATCCCAGAGCCCTGGGCCTAGACCTTCAGCATAGGTCATGCTCTTCAATGAACCTTTCACTCCAGAAGGACAGAATGAGTTCTTTTTTCCCAGACACCCACATTTTCTGCCTTTGCATTTGTATGTGCAGTGCCCACAACGGAAAGTGTCTCTGTCTTCATAATGAATGCCCTTTTGCTGATATCCTTGCCTTCATTTAAGATCTGGCTCAAATACAATTTTGAATATCTGGCTCAAGTATTCTCTGATATCTGCGGTGGAAATTCATCTCTTCCTGCAATACTTCACATCCCTTTCTGCCAGCATTACAGCATATGTCATGTGCTATGCATTGCACTTTTTTTTATGTATAGTTGCTCTTTCTCAAGAGGTAACCTGTGAGACCATTATGCTTAGCAAGAGTATATACAGTCATGCACAACTGTACTTAGTTGTACAAGGTTCTATTAGAGAGCAGATACATGACATATACTAGATTTTCAATGATTCCATACTCAAAAAGATAAGAACCACTGTTATAAAACTTCATTTCTTGTTTTTCTAGGTTTCTCTTTTTCTTTATGGGATAAAAATGCTTTTCAGTTATAAAGGCAACACATATACACTAAGAGAATATTGTGTGTGTGTGTGTGTGTGTGTGTGTGTGTTCATACATTACTTGGGGTAATGATATCCATCTCATTCCTCCATCTTTTTTATACCCCTTTCCCCCTCCCTCCCTCTCCCTCCCCTTTTCCCTATCTAGAGTTTGTCTAATCTTCCCATACTCCCCTTCCCAACCCCACTATGAATCAGCCTCCTTATATCAGAGAAAACATTCGGCATTTGGTTTTTTGGGATTGGCTAACTTCACTTAACCTTATATTTACCAACTCCATCCATTTACCTGCAAATGACATGATTTTGTTCTATTGTATTGCTGAGTAATATTTCATTGTATATCTATTCCACATTTTGTTTATCCATTCAACTACTGAAGGGCATCTAGGTTGGTTCCACAGTTTAGCTATTGTGAATTGTGCTGCAATAAACATTGATGTGGCCGTGTCCCTGTAGTATGCAGTTTTTATGTCCTTTGACCAAGGAGTTGGATAGCTGAGTCTAAGGTGGTTCATTCCCAATTTTCCAAGGAATCTCCATACTGCTTTCCAATTGGCTGCACCATTTTGCAGTCCCATCTGCAATGTATGAGTGTACCTTTTCCCCCTCATCCTTGCCAATACTTATTGTTATTTGTATTCTTAATAGCTGCCATTCTGAATATTATTCAGAGAAATAAGACCTAAAGCATTGAACACAATGGCTAACATTTATTGATTACTTACAACATCAGGTACTTTAGTGCTTTTTATGTATTACGTAATTTGTAGAAGCTCTATGGGATAGATATAATTATTACCCTCTATAGGACATTAGATTATATTTGTAGATTTGTACATAATAACGATAAAATTATATTGATGACTTTTTACTAGGGGTTCTATGTATCAATAGGAAAAATGTTGAACACCCCATAAAAAATGTTTGAAAGATATAAACAGGTGATTGAAAAATACAACATGTAGAAAGAAGAAAAAATGTTAAATCTGAGAAAAATACAAAAGCAGCATGCATTTTTGGACCACACACACGTGCACACATGTATGGTTCAGTGCTAGTGACAACTGAAAAATAAAACCTCTTACCTTCTGATGCTTGAAGTGTGAATTGGTACCCTGGTCCTTTTTTTTTCTTTTCCTCTCTTTTAGTGTCTTTGTTCTGCTGTCTCTTATAAGAACTTAGATTAAGTTAGAATCTTTTGGTCATAGTAGTTCAATCTCTTGTCTCAGTAACCTTTCACTTTAATTTTGTTTATTCTAAACATTCATTTAACTACACTTTGTTTTGTAAGCTTAATCCTACTGTTGGAGTTTTTATTCCCACTAGTGAATTTCCCATCCCCATTTCTTTTTGTTTGCCTTTTATAACTTCTATGACAATCCTTTTTCTTTTTCTATTTTCATTTCTCATCTTAAGCCTATTTTAGCCTTCTGAACCATCTCATAAATTTTAACCTCTTTTATTCCTTTACTCTCTGTTTAAAAATTTTTTTTAAATGCCTTGTTTGACGATATCTATTGAAAAGTTTGCTCTACCTTATGAAATCTCAGATGCACTCTGGATCATTCAATCAATATTGAATTGGTTGAGAGACTGGGTACATTTAAGAATTACTGAAAGCTGCAATAATCAGTTCTAGAGCTCCAGGAGGTCATTTAACTTATCCATGTTTACATACTTGATAATGCCATAAAAGGTTTTGATTTAGTTCTGATGAACAAAAATACACAAGGGCAAAGAACTGGTAAGGATGGAATGCTGTAGTTCACTTCAGTAAATGGCATTGAAGATCTGAATCCCTCCAAATAAAAGTTAGATTCTAGATTATATGCATTGCCAGTTAGGAGTCACTTAAGTTAACTTGAAATTTTCAGCTAAACAAACAAACAAACAAAAATCTTAATTGAAGTTCTAAATTAGCCAGTGAATTATTGAAAGGCTTAAAAATGTTGTCTAGCCTTTCATCAAGATGAAATAACAAATTTGACATGTGTGGACCATTACAATGACTTTGTAAGTTTTGACTTTTCCCTTGCTACCAAGACAGGGTAGACTTCCAAAAATGAATGGAGATTATACCCAGGACTCTAGAGCAAAAGACAAATGGAAGAACTAAGCTCAGGCTTTGTCTTTAAGGTGAATACAGGATGGTGGGATGAGACTGCATCCATTGAGTCTGCTCTGATGGAACCAATGTTAGGTCCAGGGCTCTAAGAGCATCATGGTGGAATGTTAAGTGTGTGGGGATGGAGCTGGGGAGGGAGGCCACAGATAATTGCAGGAATTGAGCCTTTCTGTCTGGTACAACTGCTACAGCTGGACCAGATCCAGGCAGACAAAAAAACAGAGGGTGGGTCTACTTAGGGATCATTCTTGAATAGAAAGGTTGAAAAGAATTTTGATTTAATGATCATATGCTATTTTCCAACCCATATTGGCACAAACTTGCACACTTGTGCATATTCATCCCAATATAATATCTCTTTCCCTATCATCCTTTACACCATGTCTCTCACCCTCCCTTTCTTCTCACTTTCACTTTCTTATTCCCAGTGAACTTTAAGTTCCTAGAGCCATCCCAAATTCACATCTCTAGCCTCAAATCTTACAAAATGTTTGGCAAGTTCCCTCTACTACTAAATAGCTTTGTCACCTTGCTATATCACTTCAGCTACCACCATTTTCTTCTGCTACTAGATGAGAAAAGTCCTTACTACACAGAGTGACCATTAGATTAGTGAGATAAAGCATGAAAGATGCCCACCATGGCACCCAGGGAACACAAGCTGTTTCTGACCACAAGCACCTTCCTCCTGCATTTTAGTGTGCTCCTGTCCTCACTGTCACCCTGTGGGTGCATCCACATTCCTTTACACACAGAACTCATTCATATGGAGACTCTCTGGGTGGCTGTGTGCCTGGAACCAGAAAATAAAGTGCCTTTCATATCGATGCTCTCATTCTTCATCACAGAACTTTAGGGGGGAAGAGTTCATTTTCTCTTTTATAACAGGGAAACTGAGGCTCAGAAAAATGAAGGAACTTTTCCAAGAGCCCACAGTTGGTGAACCCCAGAGCCAAGATCCTCCCATAGCTCCAGAGCTGGAATAGTTTCTCCATATGTGGCCTGCACCCTGTAAAGCACTTCCTGTTATCTGGCAGATGCTGAGGAAGAGGCTTTCTCCTCTGGTTACTAATATTTTGATTTATCTTAGTAAAAGTGCCACAAGATAGCAGGGAGCTGAAACTCCAAACTTCGGTTCTTGTGTTCTGATGAAAGAAGATTTAAAGTCAGACACCAAAAGTCAGATAAGAGAACTTTATTAGAAGTGAAAGTGAGGTGAAAAGTAAAAGAAAAGTGAGGGATAAGCAAAAAGTATCTCAAGGGAGAGAATGGGCCATCTCCAATAAAGAATGACAAAGGAAACAATGCTACCCCCAATTTCATTCCTATTTGATGTTTACCAGTAGACTGAGGACCACCTTTTGTACTCTTTGCCAATCAGGTGTTCAACTCTTCCTTAACATCAGGCAGTGGAGTTTTAGACCTTAGTTGGTCCTCTCCAGAACTGTCATGGTGGCCATTTTATTTCAGGGGGCTTCATCTATAAGTCAATCCTGTGTTAATGTCAGCACTGGGGTCAATTGCTTGTCAGAAGTTACCTTAGTGCGCCTGCACTACTAAAGGGATCTTCCTCCCTAGATAAATGGAGGTACTTTTAGGAGATACTTTTAGCCATAATTCCTAGCTTCAGGTCAACACCAATGGACTCTATCAAGAGTTAGTGCCATTAATCCTTTTCTCTTGACATATTTCTTGATAAGCTCATTTCACTTCTGTTTTTTTTCCTACAAATTATCACATTTTGTTGTCTTCTTTACTTTTGAAATAAAGAAGACACTAACATAAGTTAAAGCTACAACCTAACAAAAGAAAAAAAAGATTTAACTTCTTAAATTCCATATTTGCTACACCAGACTTACATTAAACATACCCAACATAAACCTTATAGACAAAATAATATAATATGAAGACACAAAAAATGTATATAGGAAAAACAAAATCTTAAGGGCTATTTAATATCTTTAGATAGAGAAAGATTATTTATATAAATTAATAAAAGTTGTTAAAATACTAAAATTAAAACCCCACTAAATTGAAAATGGATATTGATAACCCAGAAAATCATATTTAAAAAATAAGATTTTCCCTCCCCATAAGAAAAAGAAAAAAAATCCAGCAAATTTTGGAGTTCAGATGTGCTGTATTTTCTGCTTTCACTAAACTCTAGGATGCCTCAGGTTTGGGACCTTGTTTATTTTAGTAAGTCATATCTTTATGTCTTCTTTTAGTGACACATGGTAGATGCTCACTCTATTCATACTGGTTGAATATATGAATATATGTTCATAAGGAAACTTCCAATCTCTCCGTGAACTAAATTTGAGTTTAGTTGAGGAGAAAAAGTTCAGAACTATTCCTATCACACACACTTCCCTCAATGTGAGTCCCTTTAGCTTCATACTAGCCCTGTGTCCCCAGACACACAGACAAGTGCATGTTCAACTGTGACTATAACTGTTTTTCAGTTGGTGAAGAAATATGGGAATGTTCTTAGCCTGGATTTTGGTAACGTGTCTTCAGTGCTCATAACTGGACTGCCCTTAATCAAAGAAGTTCTTTCTCAGACAGACCAGTTCTTCCTGCACCGCCCTGTAACGCCTCTCCGAGAACGTATCTTTAGGGGAAATGGTAAGTTTATTGATGACAATAAGGTGTGCATTTGAAATGCTATGGTCTCTTCACCATGCCTCTATGCCTATAATTTTCTGACACTTCCAGAAGTTAATCTCATTATGAATGAAATAAATGCCTTCCATTATAAGAAGCCAAATGCCCACATTTCCTGGTTGAAAACATCTCCTCCTAAACATTTGTCTGAGTGGTTCCTGATAGAGATTTTGGAGAAACCAGGTGTCCTGCACAAACTCTGGATGCTTTGATAATAAAGTAACCACATCACCTAATTATAACAGAGGAGGAGACAGTGTGTGAAGAAGCTTCAGACCTAATCTTCAAAGAACTCTGCCATTTCAAGATTTGACAAAAGATGAAACAGAAAAGGATATAAGAAGTTTCTGGAAGGGATTAAGAAGAAAATATGGAAGTGTATACCCTGAATTCCACCAGAAATGAGTGTGCAAGAAAAAAGCATCTCATGCTGCTGCTAAAAGACCAAGTGAAATGAGGTTGAAAGATAGCCCTGGACTGACTGCAAGGAGGGACATTTCACTGGGTTGGTGGAGCTGTGATGGCAAAACCAGACCTGGTTGTGAACTTAATTATAAAAATGTTATGGTAAGAGGGACTGAGGCTGTGGCTCAGTGGTAGAGTGCTTGCCTAGCACATGTGAGGCACTGGGCTCAATTCTCATCATTCATCTAAAAAATATTTTAAAAAACTGTTTTGGTAAGAAAACTATGCCTGGGGAAAGGTCAGTTGTTCTCCCCTCTCTCAGCCTTTCTCTTGGAAGCCTAATTAACCATGGGTTTATTAACCTTTTGAATTGTAAATAACTGCCCTAGGGATCTGACTACCCCCTCTTAAAAGAGCCCTTTCTTCCTACTAGTTTCTGTGAGCATGTTAGAGACCCTGCACAGGGCCTTTAGCAGAGTAGATTAGGAATAATTTTAAGAGAAAAAAGCCCCAATGATAGGATAGGTCTAAGAAGACATGAAATCATGAATAAATGTTATGAGAAACTGTGGATCAGGGCTCAGAATTTGGAGTTTTGTTTTCCTCTGGGCGCACCAGCATAAAATAGAGTTTGGAGTTCTCCTCTCTGAGTATTGCTTGCTGCTTCTCCACCAGTCTTGTTTCCCACAACAGAGCCAAAGCCAGGTATCACAAGAAGTTGAGGAGTAACCATGGGGAAGTGGAAGGGCGCATGGCATTGCCTGTGTAGTGACATAGATGGTGGTCTTTTGCACACAACAGGATGTTTTTTCCCCTTCTCCTATGCTGTTCTTTCTGTGTGGAATACTCACTGGTCTCTTGCTTTGTTGAATGATTCCTTCATCTTTTAAGGTCACACTTAGGACCTCTCCTATAAAGCCTTTCTTTGCCTTCTACCAATTATGGACTTTGACTTATCTCTGAGTACATTCTTGGTACGTAGCTTGCCATAACTACTGAACTGTACTTATGTTGCTACTGATTAAAGCATGAGTTTTGGAATCAGGGAGACTTGAATTTGAGAACCTGGTTAACTGATTACTATATGACCTTGCAAAATTTACTTTATCCCTTATTCCCATTCAGTCAAATTCAGGGGAGGGCAGAGGAGGGGCGGGCAATAATTGTATCTATCCCATAGAGCTTCTATGAGTGTTAAATTACATAATATATAAAAAACACTAAAGTAACTGATGTTGTAAGTAATCAATAAATGTTAGCCATTGTGTTCATTGCTTTAGGTCTTATTTCTTTGAATAATATTCAGGTGCCTTAATGTCCCTCCTCTTTTCCATCTGATGCACATTTCCATACAATTTGCCAGATATTTGCATAGTAGAATCAGAATACCATAATATTGCCTTTTTCCCCCTAGGATTGATCATGTCTAATGGCCAAATATGGAAGGAACAAAGAAGGTTCACTCTGACAACATTAAGGAACTTTGGTTTAGGAAGGAAGAGCCTGGAGGAACGAATCCAGGAGGAGGCCTACCACCTTGTTGAGGCAATCAAAGAGGAGAATGGTGAGCATTTCACAAGAGCATTTACAGGAGCCTGTGGCCTATGCATTCACCAGTAGATACTTTTTAAGTGCCTAAGTGCTTGCCGATGACCAGCACTGACCTAGGCTCTGAGGATACAATAGGAAACAAATACCATGACACTTCTCTCAAGGAGTGCTAGAATTCAGTGCACAAACATTAAACATATTATGGTATTTAAGTCCTGGTTATCAGTTCAACCCCCCTGGCATTGACTATATCCTTGCTGTATCACAGACCTCATATAGGGGGCTGTGGCCAGCACCTCCTCTAGGATTCTCTAGTAGGTATATCTGTGTCAGCTAGAAAAGACTCCTGTAGAAAACAGGAAGAAACCAATGATTTTGAAGAACTCTCTCTCTTTCTCTCCCTCCAGGACAGCCTTTCAACCCTCACTTCAAGATCAACAATGCAGTTTCAAACATCATTTGCTCTATCACCTTTGGGGAGCGCTTTGAGTACCAGGATGCCCAGTTCCAGGAGCTGCTGAAGTTACTGGATGAGGTCACGTTTCTGGAAGCTTCAAGATTCTGTCAAGTAAGCAGTCATCTTCTATATGCTGGTTAAGGCCATTGGAGCTGATCTCATATACACATAGATTCTTCTTCTTCTTCTTCTTCTTCTTCTTCTTCTTCTTCTTCTTCTTCTTCTTCTTCTTCTTCTCCTTCTCCTTCTCCTTCTCCTTCTCCTTCTCCTTCTCCTTCTCCTTCTTCTTCATTGAAATGTAATATTTTAAAATTAATTTAACAAAAACTTACTTGAAATCAGCTATTTGACTTTAGTGTTTTCAATAATGTTGAAAATTTACCAAATGCAAAAAACATTTCTAAGGTTTCTTTAGAGTACAAAATTATAGAAGACATACACTTATGTACTTGTGTTGTTCTTTTTTTGAAGAACATATTGCCATTGTCCTTGCCTTTGAATCTCTCCTCTCCATGTTACTTTTAAAATATCCATTTCCTTCCTGTTTCAAGCAACCTTCTGAGTGCAGTTTCTCTCCTGGTGTGTTGTTTTAAGATTCACCTGTTTTGGTTGCTCTTCCTATTTTTTTTTTTAATGCAGACTAGCTTTGTCTTGTATAAACATGCCCCTGTTTGTTAACCTATTTGCTATTTTTGGACAAAAGCTTTTCCAGCTTTTATGTTATGAATAGAGCTGCTACCAATATTCTTTTACTAGTGTATATATAGTATATAGTGTATTCTATTTCTCTAGGCCCTTATATATATTTTTTTTAAAAAAAGAGAGAGAGAAATTGTTTAATATTTATTTTTTAGTTTTTGGCGAACACAACATCTTTGTTTGTATGTGGTACTGAGGATGGAACCCGAGCCGCACACATGCCAGTTGAGTGTGCTACCGGTTGAGCCACATCCCCAGCCCAGCCCTTATATTTTATATGTTTTCTTTTTAAACAGCATAAAAATGAATATAAATTTTGTACCAAATTTGACAATATTTTTCTTTTTATTGGAGCACTTAGTTTCTTTTATCAAATTTACTGACAAATGAAAACTAATTCATGATCACTTTGTGGCTTCTATTTTTCTTCTGTTTTGACTTCTGTTTTAACCCAAGCAAGATACTACTCCTAAATCCTGAGAGTGAGAGAGCCCATAAGGACTGATGGGAGATCTGGGAATGGGAGGGTCTCAACTAATGGGTGAAGAGAGAGAGAGGCAGAGGGACAGAACCTGTGAGACCAAGCCTTCATTAAAGGCCATGGTGGTCTCTCAGGCTTTCCCTGGGGGTGGTCAATTGCTAGCTTAAAGAAAACACTCTTGGGCTTAAGATGGAAACATATTTAAATGACTCCAGTATTATCCATTATGTATATTTCATGGTCAGCAGCTATGGGATGTGTTGCCATGGGGCCGGTAATATGAAGAATAAGCAATTGTATTATTATCACAAAGGAAGGAGAAGTTTCACTAGGCCAAAGGCTATGGTACAATGAGGTTTTAAGTGACTCATGTCAAATTGAATGGGTGCCAAGGCAGCAAGTGTATTAAACAAACTTATGATACTTTATTTTGCTTAAATTAAGTATTTAAAAAATTTTGACTTGGGCTGGGGATATGGCTCAAGTGGTAGTACGCTCTCCTAGCATGCGTGAGGCATGGGATTTGATTCTCATCACCACATAAAAATAAGAAAAAGACAGAGATTGTATCCACCTAAAACTGAAAAATAAATATTTTTTAAAGAGAGAGA